TTGTTAAAATTTGGTTGAAGATGACCGGGAAGTAAACAAGTTATTTAAACGTTTCATTCCCAAAAATTCATTACTTACTGTCCACCTATAACCACAATCGAACGTTGAAATGAAACGTTGATTCTTTCAAGCAATATTACGTCCTTCTATCTTGCTGAAACGATACATTCACAATGTACGGTAAAATTATTGCTAGAAATAACCTGTTTATAACGTTAGAGAACTACAAGATTCAAATAATAGATTCTTGTTTACTTCAAAGTTTTGAATTCACATATTCATTACTCTTGAGCTACTTGATACGTCATCTGATCGTGTAATGATAATGCTGATGAAACGTGGAGAATAACTCATCCAAAAACGTCTATTATTATGTGAAAAAGATTATTCATTGACGTTGATTTCAGTATCTCATTTGAATCAGGAAATACTGGTTAAATAACTGGTTATTCATCGACTCTCAGACGAATGGTCCTACGTATGAGAAACTGAATAAGAGACCGTTTTTCCCGATGATGAAAATTACTAATTGTGTACAGGGTGGCTGGAATAAGAGCCTCATGATTGGGATCACGAGAACTGTGAGAAATGCAGTGTCGGTTGAAACTTGGCAAAACTGTGAGCAATTCAATACTGGATCAAATTCCGTTTAGAAACATGGAAAATTCTGAAAATTCGGAAATTCATACAAGATGACAATTTCAAATCCAGAATTTGACGTTTCGTCTTCCAGAAACCCTTATCAATAAATTTTTTTTATAAGGACTTTGATTTTGTTTTCACTTTTTGTTACCTTCGGATAGCCAAAGCTAGGAGCTATCACAAATCTTAATTTTCAAATGTTTCGTTAAAAGAATCATAGTTTCCTATTGAAAATTGGGAAAAAATGCAGAAACTGTCAATTTTTTGAAACGAAACTATCGAAAATTGAAATGTGTATAGGCTATACAATGATCAAAGGTAATAAAATCACTGTATAATACTATAAATTTTAATTCATATGAAAATGGTGTTTGTTCGATTGACATTTTCCACTTCCTCCTATGGACAATAACAAGAATGACTCCATCTCCTGAGAAACCGGAAGTTTGACAATGATGAGAATCTTCAAGTTGGATCTCCCATTTCCCCTCCACATTTTGTATAAATTTCCTGAATCATGAGTATAAGAACCGTACCGTCATTTTTAAACTTTTCATTGATGCGGCAGAGTTCTCACAGTGAACTAACGTTTATTCGAAACGTTTATTGTACTGTTGAAATGAACGTCAATCAAACGTTTCATTGAGAGTATTTGATAACCGTTGAAAGAAAGAAAAAAGTGGAATATCTGTTTTCCAACAACGTTAGTTGATCGTCATTAGACAACGTATATTCAATCCATTTACATCTCGCCGACTCTCACACCAAGAGTTTAAGTACAAATACGAGTAGTCAAGCATATTCAAATAGGGATACATAGAGATGGGCACCTCACTAAGGTGAAAGTGAAACAGCTGAGGAGATACATAGATAGATAGATACACATAGACAACAAAGAAGGTTTGTTAAGTATAATAATAATCATAGTCATTATTAGAATTTTGAAAAATAATTGTAGACACAAGAATAACAAAAATTGATCTGAATGAAACGTTGGAGAAACGTTCAAAAAACAGAAAATTCGACGATTGAAAATTGATCCGAAATGAACGTTAAAATATATTCTTTTATCAACTCGTTTAAACGTTGACATGTCACGTTTATTTCCCATGAAATATTTCGTTGAGAACTGAGCAGTTTCCACCGGTTTCAAACGGATTTTCACGTTGAAATCAGTAGTTGAAAATACATTCTTGCACTGGTTATATATAACGTGGATGCCAGCGACACTTTCGCGTTGATTCAACGTGATTAGAAGATTCCATTGAACGTTATTTCAACCGACCGTTATGGTAATTTTACTACATAATTTCAACGTGAGTGTGTGTACTGAGAGTATTTCGCAGTGGTCCAGCAGTCACCCTTTCTAATTTCAAAACCAGTGAGCTTTGCCCTGGCTGTCTCCTGCAAACCTTTAGTCGACCAGACGAACGGGCCTCACGTGATCATTGGTTTCACCATTATGTGGTGAATCCAGTAAATTTGTTTGGGATTCATCTCCCATGGACGACAAACCATACGATTCTGTGATTCCAAAGGGGAGAGCTGGATTCTTCAATATTTTTTGCCATGTGGGCGATCCAGGTCAGTCTTTTATCAAGGGTGATACTTGGATATTTTACCTCCGCTGCGATGCTGCAAACGGAATGATCTTTCCATATGGAACAGACTGACGAAGCTCATCTAGTTCTTGCCTATTGGTAGAAGGAATCTTTACAGTTTTCCGAGTGCTCACAGAAATCTGCCCCATCTCGCACAAACTGGACACAGTAAAGTATTGTAGTCCGGTTGAGATCATCGCTTCAAACTTTCCCCTTAATATCAGGACCTAATCATCTGCATACCATTGAGAATCCACCCTTTGCATGGAAAGAGTGCTCAGCAGAGCTACAACTATAGAAATCACCACATAAGGGAAAAAAGTACTCCGCCTTGTGGACCTTCTGCCGCTCTGAACCTGAGCGACTCCCCATGCAGTGATGACATGACTACATATTTGACTGCTGATTTCTCTTCATCGCATTGCAATATAGAGTGATCGTGGTTGGACACTATTGAATGCTTCTTCTATGTCCAGGAAAGCTGCCAGCGCAATTTCCCTTTGATCTGAAGAATGACTGATCTTTTCTACAAAATTGTTCAGTGCTGAATCCGTATGGATTTGCCTGGTTGGTAGGCACATTGGTGGGGATCTAGGGTGAGTTCCCTCAGATTCCCTTCTCTTTTATGCCTATCTAGAATTATTTCTAGAGATTTCAATAGGAACGGGGTCAGGCTGATCAGTCGGAATGATTTGAGTAGAGAGTGATCTACCGTAGTTGATTTGTGTATATACACAATAATCGCTGTTGACCAGTCTAGCGGAATATATATAGCCTCAAGTCAAATGCTTGAAACGCCTAGTACCATATGGGAGGCTGCAGAGCTGCTCCTCCGAGGTGGCTGTAGTAGCGCCCTATAATCACTATTTATATCTCTATGCTGTCTCTTGACAGCACTTCGTTGAACAATACAATTTCCAAAGAGACAGTTTCATAAAATGATAATAATAACGGTCTCCTTGAGATTCAAAATATTGAACCTCAACTTCAATTTCAGTCAATTTGGCAAGATATTGATCGACACGTAGACATACCTTCATATCTCTTCAATCTGATCCTAGAAACGTCAGAACAAGATTGAAATCAGATGTGGATATCACCAAAAACAATCATGATCAGTGAGAACAATCACACATACAGTGTGTCTCACTTTTAATGGAAACACTCCTGTAATTGTTTAGTAAAAATTCTGAAATTCACAGAAGCGGGAGATATATAAATGATACAAACTATAACCAAGTGGATTCATCTTCAGTGATATACACTGCTCGCCAACAGCTATGGAACCACTCCCATTATCGCTCTTGCAAATTTAATAACCCTTCCCAACAAATACGAAAGATACAGGGTTTAGAAGTGAGATACACACTGTTTTACAGCGTCAGTTGTTTTTATGTCGGGAAAATTTTTTGATGATTTTTTTTTAGCTCTTGGAACGCACGGAAGGGAATCCCTTTAATGTTCAAAGAACATCGTGCGTTACTAGGGAGGATAAGGACAGGAGGTAGGTATTTTTTTTAAATTCTGAAGATTATGTGTTGTTGGAAATACTTCCACAGGCGATGAATTCCAGAGCCTAGCCGTTCTATGGATGAATAAGGAGTCTTGATAAAGTGCTGTTCGACATCTTAGGTTTACCACAAAAGGATGTGCTGACTGGGCTTGTCTAGTTCGTCTGATTAGTATTGCTAGTGAAGGGATGATAGCAGAGATTTCCGAAGAACATTTCCCGTGGAAGTATCGATAAAAGTGAAAGGTCGCCGACCTTTCTACGGTGTTCAAAATTTGACTTGGTCCGATTTGGAAAAATATGAAAAATAGACTACTCGGTCGGGGTCACGTCACTTCCACTACATGTCAAAAGTTACGTTTGCTTGAATATCAGAAAAGATGAAGAAAATTGGTTCAATTCCAATTCAATATAATTATGTGTCCTGAATCTGCATGTTTCATAACAACTTTCAGTTTTTGATAACTCTTTCAATATCTACGAAATATCTGTAATATTGAAGAATATCAACACTGCGGCAAAAATATCTTATTTTAGTAGTTTCATCATGCTACTAACTTTTAATCAATAATTATTGACAAAAACAAGATTTTCCACAGGAAATAATAGACCCCCCTTCACATTCCTGTTATGTTTGATGAAAAGTTGATGTATCGTATCTATCATTCGGGATCGAAATCCATTTTGATGAAGTTTTTCAGTACTAGAATTATGTTAAAATCATCTATCGAAATATCATCGAACTACACTATACGAATCTAACCAAAGTTTGGGACAGTTTTGTCGAATTTATCATAACAAGAAATCAAAGAATATCAAGAACTGAAAGTTGCAATGAAACGTTTAAATTTGCAAATAATGTGCCAAATTGGAAAAGTAACAACGTTTCTTCATGGACTTTCTTGAAATTAGAACGATAGCGGAAGTCACGTGAATCCGACGGAGTAGGCAATCTTCCATATTTTTTTAAACGAAACTTAATGCCCAAGTCGAATATCAAAATGAATTATTATTATTACAAGTTCTTCTTATATTATGATGATCACTTTATGAATGACACTGTACAGAATTTTACATATGGAAACGAATTGAAAATATCTTCATTCCATAGATTTCACGACTAGATTGCCGATTGAGAATTGTATTCGTTATATCAATCTCTCAATTTCATTGACTGATTATGTTGATAAAATCAGTATGTATGATAAACAAATACTTCAGTTCTCAACAATTCGTTACAATTTCCACGAGTAGGCACTTGAAATTTGAACACAGCGTAGATTCTGGCACATATAAATACCCAATGTTTTGCTGAATGTAACGTCATAAAGTTACAATCTGTTGTTCTTATTGAAAAGGTGAGTCTATCTGATCAAACTTTCGATGTATTTTTTCTTGTGATAAGTTGTAGTTTATTTCATTTGTGAATTGTTTACAGAAAAATCAGAATGAAACTAATCATCGCTTTTGGTGCCCTCATCGTTGCTATCAACGCTGCTTCTGATCAGGAGTTGTGGGCTGATTTCAAGGTGAGAGAATTATTTTCAAAATCACTCTCAGAGGTTATTCCTCTTTAGTGAATATTCAATGATTTTGGCATGAGAGCTTCAGTCGATTATGATTCACGTTTGACACAGAACTTTTCGAGTTTATTTCAATGGTTTTTATATTCAATTGGAGTGAGAGAAGGAATAATAAACATCATTCGAGTATTCGCTCATGATTATTCCCGCCGTGATCAATATACACTACAGAGACCACAAGTGTAAATCATTCATATGTATTATACATAAATCGTGAGTCGTGAATAATAGCTTTTTATATATCAAAGGAGGAAAGGTATCTATTTTCTCCCGCGTGTGAAGTTTGATGCACGACGCATAGCAGAAGGCTTCAAACACACATGGAAGGAAATTTACCTTTGCTCCCATGATATATATAAATTATTTTATCGACGGACGCTTTCTTTGGCAGCATCATTTTTGAAATTGTGCTCCAGGCGGTCTATCTCTCGATCCAAATCATTATGCATTACAAAGTTATAGTATGCCAGGGACAATTGACGTCATTTGAACGAAAGTCAATGTGACACTTCTGTCATCACGAATTGATGTATATTGTATTATTGGAGTTCAGAAGCATATTCTTGTTACTTGTTTCATAATAGTGGCCATTCCACTGTTGGTCTCTTTTTAAAATCAGTCAATATCGTTTATTTTCACGGTTTCTTCGGTATTACAGCGATATATTTTTGTTAACTAACTTTTATCGGACTTGCTCCACCAATACAGGAGTCGAATTAATCAACACGTGATCAACCTTCCTCTTTTGTCAGCGATACAATTTTATAGGTTCAAAACGTAAATTATGTCGAAAGCCAGAATGATGGATGCAGTGTACACAACTCTCGCAAGCCTCTTGTTTATTGTCTCAATCATGGAATACTCATACGAATACAACTCGTGATCACTGAACTATAACCCTACGAACTCGTGATACGATTTTTCCTTGAAATGATCGTGATTTGACATACTCCAGCTTGCTGCTTCAATTTCGTTTATGGCGTTGTTTCAAACAATGTCATTCGGCGAAATTATTACGCTACAATTGCTGAATAATCCAGTCAAAATAGTATCACTTGTGGCATCACTTATGATGTAGACACTGATTACTCCAATTGCACAGATTCCATATAGGTATATCGACATGCATCAAAGGATGCATGCTGATGCCAATTTATTTTAGACTCCTAAGGAAGTCAATATTGTTTTTCTCCTATGAGTGTAAATTGACAAATATTTCAAATGAGGGAATAAACGCCTACTTTCGATTCAGTGAGTAGATAAAATCAATTATCAATATCACAGATATTTGAATATTTGATACAATTCCGAAATATTCTCTGAATATCTTCAGAGTGAAAAATTTCGCCAATACCCGAGAAATCAATGATCACGAATCATGAGGATAATATTTCCTCATAGGTCTATAGAAATCTGTCCAGTGACATACCTAGAAATCATTCTGACAAAGAACACGAATCAAAGATTGACTCATTATAATAGATGCTCCATGACATTGATGACTTTCGCAATTTATGCAATTATTAATTGTTTTTGGATGTATGGTTCATATTATAAACTCATTTTATGAGACCCATATCTGGGGCGACAAATGTGTCATTCTCCTTGTCGTAAAAGGGGTTACGAGATTCGTTATTATTAATGAAGATGATGTAAAATAAAAATTCTCACTCGATGTTTGACATTGTAATTATATTTTTTTGCAATCGACACAAAAGTCGTTTTCAATACCAGAATCAGCTCTAGAATTGACGTTTCCATTACTGACACAGAAATAGGTATGTTGCTAGGCAAAATATTCAGTTTCTAGCAGCTTAAGTTGAACTTCAGCTCCTAGGAACTGAATAAGATGTACTAGATGTCATCAAGAATAATGGTAGATTGTTTTATTAGGATCCGAAGTGTCACTTTGTTTGACAAGCGGATTTTGCATTTGCGAGGCGGAGCGTTTAGCGAAGCCGAGCGAAAGCAAAATTCGCGAGTCGAACAAAGTCACTTTTGATCCGAATGAAACATGCTTTTTTTTCTGCAACCGAAACAATTAACTCAAATAAATATGTGAAGTTACAACCAATGCCCTGCCATATGTATGCAATGCAACAAATATTGACAAATAATCCGTGTGGTGAGAATATTCTACCTGAATTAACAGCAGGTTGCGTCAGGTTGTTTTGATCAGAAAAGCCTTCAAGATTCACATACTTGCTTGATCTGTATATCATGAGTTATTGTCGGGATGGATAACCTGTCTTTAAATAATCACGGCCAGCAATATTTTTTTGCCGCAAACAACGATATTGTTCAACTCATAGGTACGTACCTCAACCAGATCTATTTCTTTGGTAGAAGTCCATATTGCTCAAAGTGGAGTGAAATATTTCACAGGAAGGAAGGAATGCTCGAAGTCATCTCCACAAATTTTAAACAATGTTTGACTACTGATAGGCATACAAAAATTATATAATACACACAGCACGAGACTCTACCCCATATTTTCCAGACCAGAGAGTTTTATGTGAGAAATTTGTATTGAAAAATCCTATGGCCATAGGCGAAACGGTTCAAATAATACTTTGAAAACATATTTATTTACTAAATCCAAATCCCAAGAACTGTTCCCTCCCCAAAAAATCATAGAATGATTCCAGAGCGCATCGAAGGAAAACATTATTTTGGATTTTGGCTCAGTCTATCAGTCCCATAATTTGCGACATGACCTTTTCAGGATCCCTATAGATTCAAACCAATCGAAACAATGGATTCCTGATCTGTCAACAACACAAATAATCGACAAAAGATTTAATTTGACCTTGATTAGAGCGATTTGTGAAAATATATCAGTTATACAACACATCAATAATATAGTGGAAATACTATCATTAGTTTGATATGGAATAGTTGAAGGTTGATTTCAATTCACTTTTTGTTTGTTTTCCAACTATAACAGTGAGCAATTTGTAATAATAGCTCAGTTACAATATAACGAAGCTGAAATTCTATCCTCAGTTTGATTTGAAATAGTTAAAGGTTTATTATAACGTCCTTTTTGTTTGTCTACCGACTATAACAGTGAGGAAGCTGTTGAAATATTTTCGTTACGATTATAATATTTTATTGTTAAAATACTTTTAGGTATTATGGTTCGATTCGACAAATTTTGACAAATTATTGTTTGTAACACGAAAATATTATCTAAATCAACTAATATCTTCAGTTGTCGTTGAGTTTGTTTAAGTACAATTTTTCCTCGATTGTTTTGACGAACACCTGATCATTGAATGAAGCATAATGGTATTTTGATTCAACAATCAAAATGATATTGTTGATTAAACACTTTTTTTTGTCAATCCAGCCCATACTATTCCTTTGAGTGTTCACATGTAATATCTTCAACTGTGAATTCAAATCGTTGAAATCAATATCGAGAATAGAAGATGTGAACAAGGAATCTCATTTCCGTATACAGGGTGTCCCATAAGTCATGGATCAAAAGAGATGGGATGGTAGGGGGGGGGGGGCATTTGTAATCAAACTAACGGTATATGTTAAAAAATTGTTGATAGAAAAGTTATTCGATATTTCTGGAAAATGCGACCCATTTGAATAAAATTTGAAACAGAAACGCTGCTTCGCATAACCATGTTATACCATTTCGGAAACTGTACTAAATGGGCAACTTTTCTCGTGATTGGTTATATTTGAAGGGTAGTTTTTGAATCAGCCGGCCGCATTTGAAAATCGACTCAAATATTACATTCGATGACAAAACTAAAGGAAAACAAAATTTTTCTCAGGTAATTGAAGTAATAAAAGTCATAAAATTATTTCTGGAGGAAGGAGCATCCATGTGGATGAAATTTGTGAAAGAAAAAATCACGAATGTGACATTTTTTCATTGTAATTGATTCTTTCCATAAAAATGGAAAAACATTAATAACTTTCAAACCATCAACAATTCGATAACCACATATACAGGGTGTTTCATAGGTGAAGGGAAATATTTCAATGGCAGATAGGAGTTACCAAGGTGGTTCTGGGAATACCATATTTGATAGGTCTTAGAGTATTCATGACGGATATACAGGGCGATTTATCGATTTCGAATAATTATTCATTCGTCTATATGTATTGACCCACCCAGTATATTTTTCTCAAATTTGGTGAGGAGCTTATACTTGGGACGTTCAATTTATTCACCTAGCAGGTGGAGTGAAAATCCAGGTTCGGCTTCAGGAAAAATTTACATTTATTCGAAATATTAAAATAACACCCTGTATTCATTAATTAACACAGTACATCAAAAGAATTGTGAAGAGGAGAAAAAACTGATTTGTGTATGATGCTTTCTGTTTTCCTGCCACCACTTCTCATCGTAACAATCATAAACAGATAGTTGAAACTATGTCAATCTGAAGAGTATTGGAATTATGAAACCAGTGTCAAGTATGATTATTTGATATCCCAGTCAAAAAACCGGAAGAACTCGATAGAACTCACTAAGTCTCACAGTCTCCATAATAGTGGACGCGCTTATGTTCAAAAAAGGGCTGTCGTGGGCTTGGAATGATTAAAGCAAACGACATATTCTAAATGTTAGTACTCATTTTATAGAACATCGCATCACTTCTTGGCCACCCCAGAATCGCGTCGTTCACCCCCTGTAACCCTCTGAAGGGTGAAATATTCAAATAACTATATCTCGATAACTATTAGAGCTAGCGAGTTCGTTCAAACGCTCCAATATTTATATTTTGAATATGAATAACTTTTTTCATCACCATATATACTGAATTTTCGATATTTAGTGAGCTTTTTTGAAAAAACCGACAAGTCAAGTGCAGCCCCTTCAAACATCAATATATAAAAAAACGAGCAGTCATATGAAAAATATTCACGAGTTCGGAAATATTGCCTCTTGTTCAAGCTTCATTTTCATGTAGCTATTTGTGTACTTGCATTTGACTGAAGTGGAATAATTTGAATAATAGTAGCTAGTGACTCATCCACATATTCAGAAGACACACACCTGTTGTTTCGAATGACACACAGAACTAATACATATTTACTTTATTCTTCAAAAAAACATATCATTGAACATTGCTTCGTCAAAAAATATCATCCAAGTCGAACACAGATCATTTCCCTCTCAAATTTCTCCTTCGTCACTAGAAACGTCGTGATCCAAATTTATAGTGTGTCGTTCTGAATTTTCACAACGCTCTTCTTCAGCTTCACACTCACACATTTCTGTACATGGTAATTTATTTGTTACACATTTGCAGTGTTTTGTATTACATTTATTCTTTCTGCATCCACATCGTCAAAACTTGCCAGTTGATCATTTCCATCTTCACCTTTGATACACCACTTGAAAAATTCAATCATATTTTCAGGAATGACTTTTCTACTTTCTGAGGACAACAGTAATCCATCGAATTTCCACAAATCAGCATTTGCTGCATCTCTTCTCAGAATAACAGAAGCCTTATAAAGAATTTTCAAATCGTCGTTCATCGTATTCGAATGATTTGCCATCAAAGATCTGAATGTGTGATCTTTCACACTCTGTAGGCAAACATTTTGGGGTTTGGAAGGGTTAATTGCATTTGAAAAATAAACATCCTCCTGAAATTCCTCTATTATAGCGGCTTTTAAATATTTCCTCTTCTTTCGATAATCGTAGGGCAAATCATGAGAATTGCATATTCTCAGATATAGCTCTTCAACTTCCTGCATATTCATTATAGTACCAGCATACAGAATATTTCACAATTCACTCAAAAATTCTATACCTCTGATGCAGCTACAGTAGTCTCAAGATGATGATTTTCTGGTATATTGTTGGATTTTCTGAGAACATTTACCACATTTGAAGCCCAGCAAGTTCGGTGATATTTCACTTCATATGCACGAGCATCTATTTGAGGAATGAATCCAGATAATTTGACTCTGAGTTCTTCATTGCCTCCCAACTGAACCGCATCTCTCAAACTCCTCCCAGCTTCATCAGTTACGATCGTGTGTAAAGGGTATTTTTTTGTTTCTTTTTTGTTGCAAAAGAAACAAAAATCATTTAGTTTGGGAACATTCGATCTCAAAACGCTATGAGAACCAGAAGTTGATGGAGTCAAAGCAAGCGATTTTTGCGAGGATTTTTGTAGACGCTCTAATCTTTTCTTATGGGTTATCTTACTGTATCATTCTGAATGCCATGATCCAGAATTATTTCTCAATTCATCCGTTGGTATTGTAGAGTTGCTTTATATGAATAAAATCAGGATCATCTAGGTCAATTCTTGATTTTATACACTTCATCACCATATCGTGTCTTGTAGGTTTCTTCACTAATTTCAAATCATTGTTTTTCTGACAAATAACACACAAAGCAAAGTTAATTTCCGAGGACGAATCCATTTTTAATATATTATTGTTCACTCAAATATTCAAGATACTCCTGAACGATTTACGAAGTTGTATTTACACAACTTCACATATTAACAGTGATACGTCGACTAATAAGATTCAAGATTTATCTATGATTGATTCTATGCAATGCATGACGACGCTCGCAGACATAACGTTTAGTCATGTCGAAACGTGTCCGAGAACACGCGTTCTTCCGATTTCACAGCGTTTAATACAAGTTTGTATAATCGGAATTATAATAATGCTAGTATCAAAATGAAGCTGAGAGTGTAAGCAAGAATTTTCAATTGGGGCATATATTCGAAAAATTCATTCATTTCGAAGTTATTCGATAAAAATCGAATGGTATGATATAAAAATATCAGTTTATTCGAAATATCTCAACAGGTGTTGAGAAAACAGTAAATGTCTTCATATAAAACTTCATTCACAATCAAAAAACAATCATTTTGGCGTCAAAACGAATTCGCTACCTCAAATAGTCATTGAGATACGGTCATTTGAAAATTTCACCCTTTGAAGGGTTGCAGAGGGTGAACGACGCGTATCTAGGGTGGCCAAGAAGTGATTTGATGTTCTATATAATGAGTACTAACAGTTGAAATAGGTCGTTTGCTTTAATCATCTTGAGCCCACGAAAATACATAAGCGCGTCCACTATAAGTCTTAAACTACCCAGTTACATTTTCTCGAATTTGGTAGGTATGTAGCTTACTTGGGACGATGGATTCATTAACCTATCAGGCGGAATGGAAATAATACCAAATAATTATAATTCGATAATTCACCCTGTATCTCTGTTATAAAGACTATGAGACTTTTCCTGAAGCTGAACCTGTATCTCCATTCTGCCTGATAGGTCAATGAATCCATCTTTCCAAGTAAGCTCAATACCAAATTCGAGAAAATATTACTGCGATGGGTAGTCTAATACTTATATCAGAGATTATAAATTTCAATACTCTTCAAATTGACATAATTTTAGCTTTCTGTTTATGATTGTTACGATGGGAATTGGTGGCGGGAAAACAAAAAGCATCAAATCCAGTTCAGTTTTTTCTCCTCTTCACGATTCCTTTGATGAACTCTGTCAATTATTACATACAGTGTGTTATTTTGATATTTCGAATGAATGTAAATTTTTCCTGCAGCCGAACCTGGATTTTCACTCCACCCGATAGGTGCATGAAATCAACGTCCCAAGTATAAGCTCCATACAAAATTTTTGAAGAATATACTGGGTAGTTCAATACTTATAGACGAATGAATAATTATTCGAAATCGATAAATCGCCCTGTATCTCCGTTATAAAGACTCTAAGACCTATCAAATATGATATTTTCAGAACCACGTTGGTGACTCCTATGTACTATTGAAATATTTCCCTTTATCTGTGAAACACCCTGTATACGGTTAGTTTGATTGGAAATGACCCCCCATCCACCCCACTTCTTTTGATCCATGACTCATGAGACATCCTGTATATAGCAAAATCAAGCAGACAATGTGAAATAGTATTGTGAATCTTATTGTATTGTGTGCTCATAATATCAATATCAGGGCGAATATTATTCGATTGATTTCAATCAATTCAGCGCAAATTTCAGTTCGTATGAGGTAACTTGATTGAAGATTAATCGACTAAATCTGTTAATTTTCAATCTGAATTGAAGAAGAACGTGAGACAGCATACCACAATAGAAATCACCCCATCATGTGAACTACATACACTTAATGAAATATTGGTCTTTGACAGAAAACTCATGGAAAAACCTACAAGAGCCTGAGAGAAGAGAAACTCCGCTACAACATCTTCCAAGATACCGTCCGTGAAATTACTGAACACAATGTCAAATACGAAAATGGCGAGTCCACCTACTACCTAGCCATCAACAAGTTCTCCGACATGACAAAGGAAGAGTTCAAAGCCATGCTGTTGAAAAACATGGCTTCGAGGCCTAGCTTGGAGGGTATGGAAGAAGCCAATTTGACAGTCGGAGCTGCCCCTGAATCCATCGACTGGAGGACGAAGGGAGCTGTTCTTCCTGTCAGAAATCAAGGAGGTTGTGGAGGTTGCTGGGCATTCAGTGCCGTGAGTATATTCAAAGATAATGTTCGCTATAGAATCGTTGTGATCTAGTAGGTATATACCCAAGTAACATTGTAAATGCCTAATAGCTTCGATGAGACTTTAAAGAGGTTATGTGAGCGCAAATGATAGGTCTAATTCGTTCTACAGTTTTATGAATGCCCTGGAAAAAGCATATTGGCCTTCATGTCCATATAATCCTATTAAAAGGCTTTGAGATACTATGATAGAACTATCGCATAAAACGATTTGGCATTCAGCTCACTTCGGTTTTAAGAGAGCTCTGTGAGAGTCATTGAAATTCTTCACCAAACTATTTACTCTTAACAACCCTCTTAGAATTCTCAAGTTTTATAAGTGTATCGAATTTGAACAAGAGGTTCTGAACTAATCCTATGAAAATACGTCATAAAGCAATCATAAAACCAAATTCACACTAGGCCAATTAGGATTTGACTGAGGCACTAATGGAACCTATTGGCATTATTCTAGCTTTGTGGAAGTAATTGTTGAAACCTATAAGTCACAATGAATTCATCGAAGTCAATCATAAAATCTATAGGATTCATGAAGTTTTATTTAGAACCGTGTTAAACCCAAATCCCATAATATAAATGTTCGTATTTTTTTTTGCCTACAAACGACTCACATTGAAATGGACTCACAAAAAAATAGATAGTGTGAAATCAAGAGAAATGGTAACTTTGAACGAAATAATGAAGAGAATCACTTAAGAATCAAATTCTCAAGCCCAAGCGATTCCAAACACTGCGTCTTTCAATTCATACCAACTGAATTCACCAAATAGCAAGAATTCATTTGGACCTGATATTCATGAAGTACCATCAACGAGTCAGAACGTAATGGAAAATACTTCTGATCATCGTGCTTCTGAATGGGAACTAGGAAGCGCAGAAGTTGACAACAGTTTTGCACAAATTATGTCAGATGGCGAGTAGAGCATGAATTTGAGAGAATGGAGCAATCAACACAATATCAGCCGAATTGCACTGAGTGTAGGTTGTCTATGTTTCCTACTCGGTTTCCTACTCCAAACCAATCACAAAATTCACAAAGTGAACACTGTAAACAACAAAAGTGGGGTTATGTTAATCATGTTGATGTCAGATGGCGAGTAGAGCATGAATTTGAGAGAATGGAGCAATCAACACAATATCAGGCAAATTGCACTGAGTGTAGGTTGTCTATGTTTCCTACTCGGTTTCCTACTTCTAACCAATCACAAAATTCACAAAGTGAACACTGTAAACAACAAAAGTGGGGTTATGTTAATCATGTTGATGACCTTCTTCTACACTTTGCAACACTGCCAATGAGCACTAGCCAGGATATTCTTAGAGCTTTATAGTTTTATGAAGGTGAAGGCATTTGCTTATAACCTTCTTAAATAGATCTCATCATTTTCGAAGCTTTGTTGTCATACCCAGGAGCAAATAGTCATAAGAATGGATTCGAATATGCAATAAGTACTTCAACAGGAGGAAATCATCTCATAAAATGCCTTATCATCACCAAAAGGTTTTAATCAAGCATTAGAGAAAGGAAATTGGTTTTAAGTATATTTTGCGCCATATTTACTACAAACAGATGTTGGCCATTGATGGAAATGAAGATTTCAAGCGGAAAAAAGAGAAGATGCATTGATACTGCCGTCGAAAATGTTGTTTTTCCACATTTTTCAAACGACTCACCCATATTCAATAAACATTCACACAATTTTGTCAACTTTTTTGAAAAGTTATTAAAATTCACATCCAATTCTAACTGATGAAAACACATTATTTTTAGGGCGCTGCTATTTTTGAAGCATATCTGGTATGTTTTCGTCAAAAAAGTCGTCATCGTTTTCATTTTACAGCCTCAATCTTCACAAAAAGGACTATTTGATGCAGTAGGGAATTATCATATCATACCGCCATGTGTAATCTCTTTCATAACTATCTATTGTTCTCTCTCCATTTTGACATGTTTGTATTAAAATTAGTTCTGAAAAAAGACTATCATAAAACACGTTACGGACTATATTATCTAAAACTAATGCTTACTGCGACTGATGAGGTTTTAATTCTAGCCAATAAGTTTCAATGTTGGCATAAGAACTGTCGTTTTGAAACATATAGGTTTGAACTCGTGCTACAAGGCTTAAAAAGGAAGTACTCTTGATAGGTTTTATCATTGCTTAGAGGCATACTATTACAATAAATTCCTATTAGTTTTATGACAAGCTTTAAGAGAAGCTGTGACAGCATGTATAAAAGTGGGCCCTTTATGTTTTGAGAAGGTTGTTTAATTGTTTTAATGATATTATCGAAGTATAATAGTTTTAAAGAGGCATTTTAAAATAGGCTGTAACAACCTCCTGTAGCAAACAATGAAACTGATGATGTTATTTGGGTAGGACCTTCAGTATAGTGAACTCAACAACTGATTATTCATTTGATTCTTGGTATATATCATGATTATCGAAGGAACACAAACGTTCACATCCTTGTGCAGAAATAATTGCATGCACTTGATACGGTTTCTCACTGACATTTTAACAAGAGCATAAAATTTTGACAACAAATTTTTCATCAAGGGCTCATTCGATGCTGCATACCAATTTAATAAGTTTACATTACCAGAGAATTATGTATTAGCTAGTTTGGATGTGGTTTCTCTTTTCGGTAATGTATACCTTGGAACATATGTTTGAGAGCAATATCTCATTTTCATTTGAAAGCACTCATTTAATAACAAATTTAATAAATAAACCTTTGGCACTTCCATGGGAGCCTCAGTTTTTATCCAATTCAAGCTGCTTATGTGATAATTTGCTTGACACAGTTATCCCTGTACTATATCCTTTGAAATGCCTTCCATCAAAAAATATGTTGATGACATAATCTCAGCACTTCCACAAGATGGTATCAATGAATTTCTGGAAACTTCCAATAGCTATAATCCTTATATCCAATTTACTATAGAAACTGAGGGCAATCAAAATGCTTTCATTTGGAAACAACTGTTCATAAAACAGCCAGACAGCACAGTGCGCTCATTGATTGGTATAGAGAGCATAATATGTATGTTGAGATAAAACATGTTCGTGTTTCAATTTCACACCAACTGGCCTAAGAATCTATTCAATTTGAAAAACTTTGGAATGATAGTCAACAATATTATAGGAGTTTTTGGAGGTCACTGGGATGCTTCAAAAAATGTGCTAACATACTGGGCATTCCATTTAAAAAAAGTGATCCTGACCCTCTAGATTTTTTCCGGTGCCCCCTGTATATGCGGCAATAATTTCTAGTTATGGACCTTGTTGTCGACGCACTAATGCACCACCATGTATGAAATATGAATGGATCTGGCGATGACGTGAACAAATGGAGCAAAGTTCAGCTGAATCTAGTCTTCCACTTATAACCTAATAAAGAAGAGAAAATAAAAAAATCTCACTTATTCATTCTACTAATAGATAATATAGAGAAAGTATAAGAACTAACAATAGTTCTTCAGGATTCAGGGAGTTGGTAGTGAATATTATATCATTCGTTGAAATTATATTCTTTTCCTGTCTTTCTGTCAAAGAATTTTGAGAAGAAGAAATATTACGAATCATTGTTTTCAACAACAATCAGTTAGATGTGACATTGACTTGAACGGCCTCCTGAGATGCAAGAATACGATTCCCAAGCACAAGGAACCGTACATTATTGAGATAATTTTTACAAAAACATATCTTGAATGAATGAGCGATTCAGTTGAACAACAACTAAGATTTACAAATATTGACGAAAATAAATATCCACTATTTGTACGATATGTTGAGAACAATCTGAATACAGACCATTCAGAATTCTCCACTCCTTAGATTGAATTATGCACCGAGAAAAATATCTATTAGCTGTTATACGAAACTGTGTCACCTACAGAACATTTCTGAATTGGATAGTCGCCATGCATAATTCCCTTTTCACTGTAATCAAGTCCATCATTTGAAAAAATCATATAACTGTGAGACAACACTTATATGAGAATGAGATGACGCTTAGATAGGGATATTGAAGACATATCTACTTAGTATATATACTTCAATTCAAGTAGTTTTCTATACTTGGTACACAATATTTCAATTTGCCTACCTTGGATTATTAGTGAACATGATTGCAAACAATGTACACGGTGGCGTCAGTGAATAAGAGTTCACGAATCACGAAACGAAAGTAAAAATACCTCCCTTTCTCCTTTTTTTTATCGTTTGGAGCGCACGAAAGGGAATCCCTATAATGTTCAAAGAACATCGTGCGTTCCTAGGTAGGATAAGGACAGGAGGTAGGTATTGGAATTTTATTGAACTTTTGGAGATTATATGTTGTAGGAAATGTTTCCTGATGCATTGTGGCTAGAATTCTTGTGAATTTTGAAGCAGCATGTGAATTTATACGAATCAAATAAATACTTATACACCGTGTCCGAGATAAGGATACGAAGCTATCCCTATCTTGAACATACTGTATACGCAATACAATCTATCACCGATATAAATATGTGAATCCAAGCATTTGCCATTTGAGGTAGTTCGAAAATACAAAATATTATCCAAATTGCAAGAATTTTCGATACATCACCAATTTATCGTTGAAACACTGAAACGCCCTGATGCAGTTCAACTCCCTGTAGTTTCTCAACGAATCCTATACTCGGAGGGTATATGAACAAATATGTCCCTGAAATTTCTAGAAGAAATTCCAACTACTTCAAAAAATTATCACCCTGTAAGAAGGGTTCACGAGCTGCTGCGGGCTGATATGTCCTTACATATCAGATAAACGTAGACGACTAATGATCGAATGAAGAAGAGATGGAACTTAATTGATACTTGTCCAACTGTGAAACGGCATCTTTAAGGATTCATATGATTATATTTTGAATTCTATATTTTAACTATAATCTTGTTCAATTTCCAAGCTATAAGGTAATCTTCTTGAATCGAAAAAGGTGGTTTGAGAAGGTTACCTGTTTCAAATTAAATACGTTCACGTTTCACGTTCATCAGATGACATTTCGTGGTTAAATTTTTTTGATCAGAGACTTTTATAAGTTGATTATTCTCGATGTGTCCAATCGGGAAGCAATGCTCGGATTCTCAAGATTGGTACCTCAATTTATTTTTCAGGTGGCCTCCACCGAAGGTCAATTAGCAATCAAAAGCGGTTCCCAGACTCCCCTGAGTCCCCAACAGCTGATCGACTGCTCAACCAGCTACGGCAACGAGGGTTGTAATGGCGGTTTGATGACCAGTGCATTCGAATACATTCAGAAAAATGGCCTGGAGAGCGATGCTGATTACCCGTTTGCAGAAAAGGACAACAAGTGCAAAGTAAATGATGAAAAGAAAAGCATTGTCAAATTGGCCGGATACAAGACAGTCGCTGCTTCAGAGGCGATGTTGAAAGAGGCTGTTGGTGAGTGAAGAGGGTGTATTAAGTTAATTCCATGATCATCTGTGCTTCAGGCGTTTCGAAATGATACTGATTACACGACTGCCGCGGCGGCAATATGACTTTCGTCATCAGAGATCAACTTGTGACCTGCTCGCTTACGTCTCAAATATATGACAGCAATCTATCAGAAAAAATGGTGGAACCTCAGCCGTGACACTTGATATCTCCAAGGCATTCGATCGAGTCTGGCACCACGGACTCCTCGCCAAGCTTCCATCTTATGGCTTGCCTCCCCAGCTACGTTCTCTGCTAGCTAGTTTTCTCTCAAACAGGTCTCTCTATGTAGTGGTCGACGGAGTTTCATCTGACTCTCTTATCATAAATGCTGGTGTTCCGCGAGGATCAATTCAAGCACCAGCACTATTTCTTCAATGGGAATTTAATAACTTGGTAGATTTCAATGCAAACAAAACACAAGCATGCCTCTTCTCTGGAAAAGCCGAACTCGCTGTGCCAAACATAAGCTTGTCAGGAGTAACCATATCTTTGAAGACATCCATTTCAATGCTTGGGATCACTATCAGCAATAGCCTTTCTTGGAAAAATCACGTGAGATCAATTCCTAAAAGTGCATCCCAAAAACTTGTTTTTTTGTTTCGGGCCAGAAGCTATGTCACTTCCAGTCCACTGCTCCTGATCTATAAGGCACAGATCCGACCTGCCCTGGAATAATATTCCAATATCTGGAGTGCAGCACTCAAACATACCCTGAAACTGTTGGATTTTGTCCAAAAAAGGGCAATTCATCTCGTGGGTGATGCCTCGCTTACAAACTCACTCACTTCTCTGGAACGCCGTGGAAAAGTTGGCGATCTAGCTCTTTTTCATAGATATTTTCATGGACGATGCTCTTCTGAAATATGAACAATTGTTTCTCTCATGGCAGTCCCTGCGAGATTAACCCGTCAAGTTGAGCCTCCGCACCCCATCGTGGTCACTCTGGAGAATTGCAGAACATCTCTTTCCAAAGACTCGTTCATCCAATGAACGGCGAGGCTCTGGAACACATTGCCAAGAGAGGTGTTCCCCGAGGCATATAACCTTCAGAAATTCAAGAGGAATACCAATTCCTACCTCAGTTTACTTGTTTCCCACGATGTTCTCTGAACATCACAGGATATCCCTTCTCGTGGGAACCCGAGTGGGAACCAGAACATAAACAAAAATACCACTCAGTACTCAAATACTTCACATGTAGCAGCCTCTGCTAATCCGAGTGCTGATTCCATGCAGTGATTGCTTCGTCAGATCTTCCGAAGGAGGAATAGATATAAGTAGCGGGTTTTGTTTCTTCAATAAAATGCCTTGAAGATACTTGCCTGGACAAGGAATTCTGGAGTTTTAAAGTTTTGCCGTTTTACGAACAAACGAATTATTTCTCTGTTGATGACTTAATAACCAAGATAACTGAAGAACACTGTAATAACAATCAAAATGTTCATAAATGATGTCACCAGACATGATTCCAATATAATTGTTGGCAGTTCAGTTGATTCGAAAGGAATATAACGTGCTTTGGTGACAGTGCATCCGACAATATTTTTTTCTTCAAGCTTGAAATTTTCAATGACAGTAATGTCTAGTCGTATTTCATTTCAGTTTCCTGGGATGGAATCAGAATCCTGAAAGGAAATACATCATAAAAGGTTTCATTATATCCTCAAAGCTAAAAATGTGGTTAATGATTATTCGTCCTAAGTGTCCGCGAAGCCGGTACCTATTGACAGCAAGAATATTCACAGTAATCGATCGGTTCTCATGTCAACGAATAAACTGATATCACTCGATCAATGTCTGTCAAATTTGTTCATGGATAATTATTCATGTCAGTCGACTACATGTTGAGATTCTTCAGCAAATGAAAGGCATGAAACGGACAGACTCGTGTTCTTTCGGGATAGGTCTTCATTTTGGCAACCTTCACGCTGAGAGTGAATCGTCTCTAGAATATCCGAAAATCCAATTCAATGATTACTCGAGAAACATATTATTGCATTATGAATTCAAAATAAGAAGTAGTATGCATATTCCTCCCCTTCACCTGGATGGAAAAACATCTGACTTCGATGACTTGGTAGCTTTTTCTGTTACAAACGAATATCAATGTTTTATGATGTGTGAACCTTTGTAGAATATCTAGATGATAATATGATGTTGCTAATATTCTTTTTCATTTAAGGTACTATTGGACCAATCTCAGTCGGTGTCAACTCTGATAATTGGCAATCATACGGTGGTGGAATTTTCAGCAATTTACTGTGCTTGGGCTTCTCCCTCGACCACGGTGTGACTGCTGTAGGTTACGGAGAAGAAAATGGTCACAAATTCTGGATTATCAAAAATTCTTGGGGAGAGGATTGGGGAGAATCTGGTTACATTCGACTGAACCGTGATACATTCCACAACTGTGGTGTGGAGAAGATGGCCAGCTATCCCATTGTTGCATGAACTAACTTGGGAATATATTGAAATTGTTGTCAATAAAGTTGAGCATTATTAAAAGTTCCGTGTGTTTCTTATGTTCTTGAATGATACATTCTGTTTCTGGTAGTGAAAGCAACACATTCCCAGATGACATCGTACACATATAGCACGAGTACGTCCTCAAAACGTACTGAGAACGTCCGAACAAGACGTTTCGTACGTACTGGGGACGTCCAGCGTTTGTACATCCTCAGTACGTCCATTTTTTTGTAAAATTTGTATATTGCTACTTCAAAGTTGGGAACCAACTCCCCAGAAGTCGAAACTTGTGCGGTGTTAGGAAGAGCGGGACCTTCAGCTTATAGTGGAATCCGAACCACTTCTAGGGCATCGAGGTGCTGCCAGGATTACAACCATGAATCACACATTTTAAAGAAAAATGCTCAGCCGACAGCTGGATTCGAACCGACAGTACCTCTGCATCGTGAACGGCTAGCGAATTTCAACGCATAGACAAACTCGGCCACGGAGCCCACTGGACCATGGATACATAAATCAACGTAGATTTGCCTCTTTTTATTCAGATAGTCAAGAAAGAAATTTTGATGAAGTAGAAAGTCTTATATTGACTGAAAAAAATTTAAAAAAAAACGCTTCTACCGGGGATCGATCCCACGACCTTTAGATCACTAGGCACATGCTCGACCTATTACTCTTATACAACAAGCAATATTATGTGCGAATGCCGATTGACTCATCACATCGATACTTATAGAATTATTTAGATAATCACGGCAGAGAATACCTAAATAGATATTTCGTGATCTGGTGGGGCCAGTAAATAATGAATTCATTGTGAGCATTGTATTATGTTCATGTTTACAAGGTTCTCATATGATTAGACTTCAGAGATCGAGGGTAGAAATTATGTATGCAATGATTCCGATTATCATTAAACAATTTATTCAATCTCGTAAACAAAAAGTCGATAACATCCAGAGTTGGACGTAACCACTACATCGGAATCGTACGTACCCAGTACATCGGAATCGTACCTACCCAGTACGTCCAGAAATGGACGTGTTCAGTATATACGTCTCGAAAAGGTCCCGGACGTTCAGACCAAAATGGGATCTAAACTGGATGTCCCCAGGACGTCGAGTGCTATATGGGTACTCTTCTATACAGGGTGGTACATACGTGCGTCAGAGCAGAATTGCTCAAGTTCTATGATAGCTATAGGAACTTGATTCAAGAAGTCATGTGTACAGGGTCGCTGATATGTATGGACACAGGTGAATATCTCGGTAACCTGTTGTTAGATTTTTTTGAATTTATGTACAGTGTGATTTGAAAACGTGGCGGATTCGAAAATATTAAAGTCAATGTTGTCACTCCTTCAATTATTAAGAATGTTTCTGTAACTTTCCTATTTTGAATAAAACAACCTGTACTCTATTGAATTTTCAGATTCTCCTCGAAAAGCTGAATCCATCGATCTTTCACACTTGGGATCTAGCGGGAATGATTACACAGGTATAGGGTGTTCATAATGTAGATTTTTCAACTTTATAGGATTTATTTGTGTTGAAACTATCCATTATCGATCAAATCCGCTTCGATGTTCCTGTCTCCACTTTTGATTCAATATCTACTGACATTTAATTGGAACAAATACAGAGGCTGATCAGAATTCTGAATCTTGAACCACCCTGTATTTGTTTCAATTAAATGTCAGTAGATAGTAAATCAATAGTGAAGATAGGAACATCAGAGCGGTTCTGATCGATAATGAATAGTTTCGATACAAACAAATCCTGAAGTTGAAGAATCTCGATTTTAAACACCCTATATATATATATATATATAATCATTCCCGCTAGACCCCAACTGTGATAAATCGATAGAATCAGCTCTTCAGAGAGAATATTGAAATTTAATAATATACAGTGTGTTCCATTCAGAATAAGAAATTTAATAAAAAACCCGGAATAACTGAGGAAGTGGCAACATAAGCTATAGCATTTTCAAATTCGCCACGTTTTGAATTCAAACAGAACAAAAATTCAAGAAAATCCAACAATAGGTTACCGAGATATTCACCTGTTTCCATACATATCAGCAACCCTGTATATGAGGACAAGGTGCAAAACGCGTAATTATTGACGCATATATGGGACGCACTGAAAAAAATCTAGAAGGCCAGGAACATTTTCTCAAATGAAATGCCCTGTATATCAGAACATTTCGAAAGCATTCCTGTGACCTTCATTCACCCCCATAATATTGTTGACTCTATCTCGATCATATCAAAGATACAAACAATGTTCATATGAACATGTGTCCTAACTTTGACCGTTTTTGAGATACAGGATGTTGAAGTTGGAATTATTGATTATTTTCATTCATAACCTTCCTGTATGAGCTTTCATATGGTACCAACATTTAGTATGGTTGGAGACTGCGGAAGCCCCAAAATTTCAAAATAATTTCAATTGGGGTTATGAAGTAATCTCAATGGAAGTCTTGAAAACAGCTACATCGAAATTTGGAGACACATCGAACTTTATTGTTCCCTCAAAAACCAAGCTAGATATAAAAATCACACAATGAATGAAAGAGTTTTTATTTCAATAGTTCAATGTAATAAAAATTTTAAAGTCAAAAATACCGGTGGCGTACAATGACATTCACCATAAATATCGATACATTGACCCACTGTGACACCACTGGAGATATTATTCCGAATCTAATCACCCCAAAAGAAGCTCCTCAATATTACTATCAACAAAACACCAACGATTTATTGAGATTGATGAGAAGACAATTGAGTAATGAATAGAAACATGATTTTTCATGAAAATGTCAATACCCTGTATTCAGAAAACGGAGCAAGTTTGGTCACATGTTTATATAAACCTCATTTCCTGAAATATCACAAGGAATCGCCGCTTGAATTTTTTTTGGACCTATTGAGATACACTCGATCTATATAGCACACAATAGAATTTCAAACATCATTTAATCTTCTCCACTGTCACCAAAATCATTCCATCTTTATCATTAAAATCATCCCCTCTTACATTTATCATCACTAGTGGAAAATCTTGTATATCCAGAATATCTTAGCTCTCCCACCAACTTTGAATTATTCGTTCAGTATGGCGAACAATATTGGCCCATATTTCAGGAGTAATTTGTTATCCTTCCACATATCCTGAGATTGCACCACAAGTACTACGAATGAAAAATTCCAGATCCGGACTTGGAAAACTCATTTTCCCTTTAGATGTCAAAATTTTGACTTTCTGGATCGGATTTTTCGAAAACTTTCATCAGAAATAGAAAGATCAGAAAAAATACTACAAGTATGGCTTTTCAATTCGTACGGCACACTTCGATCGTTTTGATTAAAAATATCAAACAAAATACCGATGAATTTGTTTTCGATTACGTCCGGGCATATCACTTTCTACATTCGACTAATTGAATCAAATTTTTTCCTGGAAAGATTCAACAGCACACTTGAGAAGAGCTATAATACAATCAAGAATTCAGGACCAGACTTGATTTTGGAAAATAACAATCATAATTTCTGAAAAAGATTTGTCAGAATCCTAATATTATTCAAGATTCTCAAAATGTCCTCCTCCAATTTCTAAACATTTTCTGCATCTCTTCAGGATACCTCTTATGGCTTTCCCAATAATTTGCCTATTATTTCTGATTATATCTGCAGCTGTGAATATCCCCTCCCTCAGTTTGTCTCTAGTGTTGACTTAATCAGTCTGATGGACCAATTGTTTCATATGCCTCCAAGGAAAATAGTCCAAAACTGTGCTGAGATCAGGAGACCTAGGAGGCCAAGAATGCGGGTCGCCACGACCTATCCAGCGGTTAGGAAAATGGGAGTCCAGGTATTCTCTCACTTGTATTGAGAAATGTGGAGGTGCCCCATCCTCCTGTTGAAAGTAAAGACCTCTTTCATTCACATTTTGTGCCGCCAACAAGTTGGGCGGAACGTTCTGCAGAAAATTCAGATATTAGTCCCCTGTCAGTCGTTCCTCGGAAAAATGAGGCCCTATCAAAACGTCATCCACCACATCACACCATACATTTAGGGAAAACTTGTGCTGTGAATTCTTTTCAACAATGGCATGGGGATTTTCATGTGCCCATATGTGGAAATTCCTCAAATAGGTTATACCATCGCGCGAAAACTGTGATTCGTCCGTGAATAAAATTCTCGAAACTGTTCTCGGATGATTCAAAATCCACCGACAGAAAGATAAACGTTGAACTTCATCGCCTTCTTCAAGCCGCTGAACTTTTTGCAAGTGATAAGGATGCATTCGCTCTTTCTTCAAAGTTCTGGATACTTTCGATTGCGAAATGCCTAACGCATGCCCTTTTCTTCTCGTGCTTGTTGTTGGATTCTGCTCCACCATATCGATGATATTTTGACATCGAGCACCATTTATCCCCGGTTCAAGGTTCCTACTGGTTCCAGGAAATCGTCCATGTTCCCGCCAGAATTAAAAAACCCTTGTAAAAGTATCGCGGTTTGGTATTCTCCGGTCAGGAAATCCTCTTCGGTATTCTCTCAATGCAGCTCTTGAACTGTCATCACAAGAACTGTAAACAAAAATAATATCTGCATATTCAACGTTAGTGAAATGCAGTGGCATTTTGAAGATATGAAATGAAATATGAAATTATAAAATTAGTAACAGTATGTATTTGAAATTATCAACAATGAACTAGATGTCATTTGACTACTACATCACAGCCTTCTTTTCATATGTATTCAGAATCGATGAACTACTAACCTCACAATTTGATTTGCTGATTGGGAGAGTTCACAACAAATGAGATCATATTCAGTATTACTTCAAATCAAAATCCCTCCATGTAGTATAAGTAGGCACGTATATATGATTAAAAAAAAAATCTGCTACCAAAGCAACAATTGTTCCTATTGAATACAATGTTTTCACATTATCACAAGTAGAAGTTAAATTTCAATTGAAAATTGGGAGAGGATAGTTACAGCTGCAGATATAATCAGAAATAATAGGCAAATTATTGGAAAAACCATGAGAGAT